AAACTCACACTGTAGTTCTCATCTTTAGTAGAAACTAATGGCGCTGCAAGTCAAACTAGATCACACTACTAGAAATCCAGACTAGACAAAGAGCTGCAGGAATGTGGAGGTTTAAGTACGTGGCTTTCCTCTATGAACAGGGTTCTGGAGTGCTGGGGGAAGTTATGGAAACCTGTGAATTGCTAGACAATGTGTGACTGTTCTTCAGTTACCAGATTCAAAGTCATGCTTCTTTTGTACTGGGTAGGCATCTTTTAGAAATTACCTGACTCCCGTTGGAAAGTCTCTACCAGTGAAACCACCTTAAACTGCTGTGTTAGCACTTCCAAGAGTATTTTTTTAAAGTCATACATCTGATTCTTTTGACACTTAAATTGTATTGTAATTTATTTTATTGATTGCAGTATTGAATTTTAGCATGATGCACCCCGTTGTGACAAACTGGTTTATTTTCCCAAGCAAATCAATATTAGAGGAATAAGATTAAGAATGGTTGGTGGCAGTAATGGGATTCTCTCCTATAATTTCATTCTTCAGTTGTATACTGCTTCCTTTCGCATGTGAGCCGTTAAAGTATCACTCTTCCAACATTTTAGACCAGAAGTAAAGTTTCTGAAATTTAAGGCAAGTTTATTTTGTTTCTTTAGTACCTGATACACAGCTTTTGAAGGTAAATGAACTTTGAGAAGAAGTGTGTTTCAGATCTGTTCCTGAATATAACCTTCCTGAAAAGACAGGCTGCTTGTGTGTGGTGACTCCTCTGTAACTCAGAGTTTCTCTTTAGTTGGTTTCTTCTACATAGCTGTGACAAGTCAGGGAATCTTTCAACAGTATGGTAAAATGTTTGACTGGGGGAGGCAATAACTTTGTGTTTCTTTATTTAGGAATAATGTAACTTCTTAGTGTGGCATCAGTAATTTTTCTTGGTGCTTTAAAAATATGAGAGTCTTGATTAGCTATGAGAATTTCCAGTTTATGTTTTCATGTGAACAGCTGTGGATGTGAATTGAAGATAATTCAGTTCAGTGGAACTCCTCAGACTGTAATTATATTAATAACCATGTGTTTGTATGGAAAGTAGCTGTGGGAGGGCAGTAGTCATGGTGTTGTGCGTATTAAGCTGTCTCTTGCTACAGAGGTTTTCATGAAACCTCAGAAGCTTTGAGGTGAATTTGTAGGTTTCAAAGCTAAGCAAGGCAGTCTTCAAATAGTGTCTCTGCTGTGCAGAAGGGAATGTATTTTCAACACCTCAATTTGCAGGCACAAATAGAAGCTGGAGGAAGGCACGGTGGTCACTGACTCCGCTAGCTGTCAGGTTTCATGGTTCTATTTCCATCTGCAGCGTGGATCTGGATAGCTTTTGAAAAGAGAGAAAGTGGAAAATAAGTGATAGGTATTCTTCTAATGATCAGAGTATTGTGATTTTATTGACTTTGGGTATTCATATTGCCAGATAACACCCAAAACTCAGGTAGTGTGAGCTGTGTGTGTTACTGTATGGAAGAGGCAAAAATAATTGTGCATCTGTGTTCTAAATAACTTGGCGTTCATTTTTCTCAAGATGTGTCTGGTTTATGCGAATATGCTACCGGTTCCTCTATTACTCTGTACTAACCTTCATTTTCCAAAGGTTTTTAAACATCTCACCTTTGAAGCAAGCTCAGTGACTGTGTAATGGGGCAAAATGGAAGGAGGTGCATCTCTAGTCCTGTGCCATGATGTGCTTAAGCTCTCTCTGGTCTGCTGTTTCATGCCTAAAAATCTGTGACTTTGGTTCCATCACCTTTAATATAATGTGTCATTTGAGAAAACTTTATTACAGGAATGCTTGTAAATAATATTATAGATTTTGTTAGTTTTCTCTATCTACTTAACAAAGTCTTGAAAAAACTAAATGGTAGCAGTACAAATGTGAAACACCTTTCCTGATTCCTAAATATTTGAATAATCCCTTGAGTGTCCTGCTCATTCACATATCTGCTTAAAGACTTTGGTTTATGAGGAGTTACTTAGCAAAAGATATTTTTACCTTCATAACAGCACTGCTGAAAGATGCTGTATTTCTTCATTACTTTAACTAGACTGGTTAAATTCAATCCATTTAGGAGATGGCTTCTGAATTTTTTTCCTACTTAATACTTGCTCTTTTAGCTAATTTGCGTATTTTTATGAATTTAATGAGAAACCTGATACCAAAACACATAAAAGCACTTAATGCTTTTCACAAACTACACCAGCTTTTTCCATGTTAATTTTTCAGCTCCGGTATGCTTTGAAATCTGTTCTAAATCCTTGTAAAATAAGGCAGGGGTTTTTGCAACAGAAACTGACAGATGTCTAACTGCAACTCCTTGTAGGCAACAGTGTACCACTGGAATGTAAGCTTTAATGAACTAGTATTACATGAAAGCAGTACTCTTAATTTGGTGTGTGACCCTGTTACGTAGCAAACGTTGACACTTTGGAATAAGAACCTGGAGATGCTGTAAACCTACTTGCTATAAATACGATTAATAAGTTATATAGAACAATGAAATTAAGTATATTTCTATCAAAAAGAATTCTTAATGAACAGAAAGTGGACAGCATAGATCTGATGACAGGAAGGTTGCATCTAATCTAAATTACTGAGTGACCCAGGAAGCTTGCTCAGAGGGATTGCCGAATAATTATGTTAATATGCAATTATCACCTCATTTCTGCTGTAGTAACCTCAAGATGTAGTGTAGTAAGGGTGTTATAGCAAGTGCTGATAGTTTGCAAAAATACTGATGTTCAAGATTTTTGAGACAATAAGATTAGCTTAAGGCATTTAAATTCTGATCTGTCAGCTTGAAGATAGATCTGACCTTACACTTTTTTGATGCTTAGACTGTCTGGCCACAGGCAGTCATATCTGAAGAACTCATTAGGATTTTAAAAACTGATATTTTATGAAGAAAACCAATATTAAAAATTACGTAAATTTAAAAGTACTTAATTAAATGGGGTGGAATGTGTCTTGGCTGAATAATTGATTGTTTTCTGCTTTTGAATATGAAATAGTTTCTCTATAATAAAGTGTATCATGTAAACCAAGAATAACACTGTTAACTGCACTATGGTCATTCTAGGCTTACCTGACATAACTGAATTAAATTTGGCCTGGCCTTTTAGATGAAGTGTGTTTCAAAGGTATGAACCTGGGATTGTGTGTGCTTGTGTTTGCTTTTTAAGCATTGTCATTTTTACACTTCATGTGTCTTAGATATATAGCACTAAAGTGCTTAAATAATTGTATGATGTTTGCCCTGGTAGGAGATACAACAAACACTATTGACAGCAAATTTTAAGTTTGATCTCAATGTTTAGTTTTTCAAATACACTAAGGAAGGATTAATTACTGTGTTAGGTAGTGTTTCAGTCTGGGTGTTGCACTTCCTCAGTGATGTGAGTTAGATCATAATGTTTCCCCCAGAATTACAGGATTATACAAAATATTTTCTTATCTGTGTCTACTTACACCTATCATTGTTCCTGCATAAATTTCTACACATGGAATAGATAACGTAAATGAAGTATTGCATCTTGGCTAGGTGTCATCATAAGACTAAATTACTGTCATTTTATGTGCTTTCATTAATAACCACACTGTTAAAACTGTTTTCTTCTTGTTGTTATGCATGTGAAACAGCGAATTGTACCACCCTGATACCTGGAAAAGTATGACAATTAGTAGAAAATTAATAAAATGTTAGTGATATTATTGATACAGTAAGCATTTCAGGCTTCATTCAAAGATTGAAATCTTGCAGGAACAGCCGATTACCAGAGAAGACTTCTAATCAGATCCATATGGAATAGTTCACAATCTCCATAAATACACAGTATGGAAGCGAGTCTCTTACAAGATTGCACAGTGTAATGTTTTAGATAATGCTCATGATAACTCTGAAGAGAGTTTCAGTTTAAAGGTGATTGTATGGTGCCCCAGCCACCGTTTTATTTGAAGCTTTAACACTAATATTTAGCATCAGTATGGTTTTGTATGAAGAGCAACATGGTTTTGTCTTCATCACATAAACTTGTGAAAAGTTTTCAGGAGCCATTCTGATAATGAGGATTGCAGTCTCCAAGCAGGCACGATATTCTCAGTTTGCCTCCCTGCTGTTCAGAGGGTAGTAGTGAACTTGCTTTAAATGGGAAGCGTCTGTTCTTCCCCTGAACCCCTCACACCAGAACAGATGGGTGGAACTTGGAACATGGAAGGTTTTACCTCAGAGGTGGTAACAGTGAAGCCACTCATTAACACTGAATTTACCACTTCGTTAGCAACATTGCTTCCTGTTGGGAAAAGCTAATACAGGCTCTCAGATTGACTGAGCATATATTTGTCTACCTCTGCAGTAATAGAACAAGGAAACACACATCTTTCAGGCAAAACTGGCTTCCTAAATTTCTTAACTTTCTGTGATCATGTTTATACTTTGCTGCCTGATACTGTGTGAAGCTCACTCAATTCAGGTGTAAAATTGATGGGGCTGTTGTACATCCTTGGAGGTTTCGCTTCTTTTGACTTACTCATTACTGATTCTTAGTACACGTTTGCACTGCCCATTTTTAACTTGTGTACGTGATGTAAAGACTCCTGCTGGGTGGTGCATTATCACCATTTTAGGGTGATAGCTTTGAATGTGATCTTATTGGAAGTCTTTATTATGGTGGAAAATGACCCATCTCAATATTTTTATCTTCAGAATAGTAAATGAGTCCTATTACATTCAGGCTTAGGTTTTACAAACATAAAGGAGTTTAAAGCATTTGTTTTGTCCTTTTGCCAGTTGTGAACAAAGCAAGCACAATAACAGAGAATTGCCATGAGGCCGTAGCTAGCTTTGAATTGTGTGAATAGCTGTCATAATGTTGAATTTAAAAACTAATACAAATGCTGGATTTATTTTAGAGTGTGACATATAAAGGTGAAAGTGGTGTCGTTTAACCAGGTTGTTTTCTCTCCTTAGGAAAAAAGGATGTCAAGAGTGATTATCCTTAATTTCGATGAAGGACCATTGCAGGGAGCCATGGATATTACTTGTGAGTTGTAACATCTTAATTCAGAGAGTCTAGATAATGACTCCTTTTAACTGAGATCTATTAAAAATGTTAATTAGTAACTGAAACTAAGTATGCGATGGCAGGAATCAAATCCCCCAAAAGATCAAAGCAAGTAGTACACTTTAAGGGTAAAATATGTGATTTCTGTAAAATATGGATGTTTCTGGCTCCTGGATGTGTGTTTTAATGCCTTATGCTTACTGTGTTCTGAGGTTCTATATAAGAGGTAAATGCCAGGGTAGAACTGAAGTTCACGCTCCAGTTTATTATATACTGATTTTCATGTGTAGGCAGTTCCTTTGTGCTCACAAAGCATTGGGTAGATGCTTTTGTGTATGAATATAAGTCATTTGTAGAAAGACATGTACACAAGGTCTCCTAGAGGCAATTAATATGTAGTAGTTCTCAGTATTAATGGATGGTGTTATTGTCATGCTCTGGATTCACTGTTTTTTCTGGTAGGTAAATCCTAATTAAAAAATTCTAATTTGGGGGGCGGGGGGGGTGGAAAGGGAGTGTTCCACCTTTGAAAATGTGCTGATTTATTTGATTATAATTTAAAATGGACTTACAGTATAATCAGGATTTGACTTATTTTAAAGCTAGAAGAGCCCTTTTGTAAGAAGGGAATGGGAAGACATTTGATTTCTTCAGTGAGTTTGATCCTTTGCTATGTCTCTGTCAGTAATCAGATGTTCGAAGTCAGCTTAGCTTCCTCTTTTAATACCAAAGCAAGCACTTCCTCAGGCTTATGTATAGCATAAGGTCAGTTGTATACAAGCACGATTATTTTAGTTTCATAGGTCCTAAAGGGAAGTATGTTTAAAAAGCAAACAAACAAAACACTAAAATGTCTTAGTAGGTGTCTGAGTAGCCTTTGCTCTGAACTTGTTTTACTTCTAGAATTAAACTAAACTAAACTCTGTTTATGTTAATGTATATGTAGAATATGTTTGCACAAGTCTTTGACAATCTCATTTCCCCCATCTTGCTTGCATGTAGGTGTTTTTGAACTGGGGTACTGGACAGTCGCTAGTTTGCTGTATGGTTATTAGTACAATATATGTATATGTAATTTTTATAATTGCAGTATTGATTTATTTTCAACATCTTGAATATCCTAAATGAAAAAAAATACATTTCTAACAAGTTCAAAACATATTTTTAGATTACAGTGTAAAGGCGGCTGTCAGTTAAGATTACTATTATTCATTTCTGTGATTGCCTGATTCTGTTCTTGTTTGGTTTTTAGTGTAAATGTACTTAATGGACAGACCAGCAATATGGATGATATAGAGATAAATACTGATGTCACTGGTGCTAAAGAAGAAGAAGAAATCCTCTGTGATGATAATTTCATATCTGAGGAAGAAGGTGGCATTCTTAAACCACAGGAGAGCGACACGTCGTTTCAGAACAATACGCTGACTCTGCCTGAGGAGCTGTCAAGGGACGGATCTGAAAAAGCCTTAAGTGGAGGCCAGGCTTCTCTATTTATACACACTGGTGCTCCTACTGTTTCTAACGAAAACTTTATCTTGTCTAGAGGAACTGCTGTTAATGGACCAGTTTCACACTCCACCTCAGCTAAGACTTCCATTATGAATAAAGGCAGTGTTTCATTAACCACTGGACAGTCTGTAGGTCATCAAACAGATTCCTGCTCAACTTTGACAGTGGTTCATGATATTCAGCTGCCTGCAAAGAGTACAACACAGAAATCAAATCAGCACCAAGTTTTATTTTTGTTACCTGATGTAGCACATGCTAAGAACCTGACTCATTCCATTAAAAATCTACCTACCTCTGCTTCAATTGGTTGTGATTCACAGAAATCAGTAGGAAATAGTGTAGATAGCACTTTAGTAGGCCAAGTAGAAGTTTGTGAGGACGATAAAGATTTACTAGTAAAAGATGATTGTGTCGATACATTAACAGGCATTTCCTCAGGTACAGGTGGTTTCAGATCGGGATGTGATCCCAGCTGGGATCCACAGAAAGAGTTTATCCAGTTTCTGATGACAAATGAAGACACAATAGAGAAGTCTCCCATTCACTGTAAAGTAGGCTTAGAAAAAAAACGGAAAAGGAAAATGGATGTTAGTAAAATAACACGCTATACTGAGGACTGTTTTGGTGATACCAGTTGTATTCCTAGTAAATCAAAACTGTTAAATGTAGACTTCTTAGAGCAGAATGAGGAGCTGCAAATGGTAGAACCACAAAAATACTCATTGAGTAAAGTAAAGCCTGAATCCCCAGATGAAGAGCTGGAAGCTGTTGATGCTATCCAGCAGCTCATTTACAGTCCTGCTAGTAACTGTGCAGACGATACTTCTCCTGTTCACACTAGCACTTTTCTTACCAATGCTTTACAAAATAAATGTGAACAGGATGAATCTGAAACGCCATCCACTTTCAGTACTGATGAACCATCCTTTTATCCCTGTACAAAGTGCAATGTGAATTTTAGGGAGAAGAAACATCTGCATAGGCATATGATGTACCATTTAGATGGGAACAGTCATTTCCGTCATCTCAATGTCCCCAGGCCCTATGCGTGTAGGGAATGTGGAAGGACATTTCGAGATCGCAATTCCCTACTTAAACATATGATAATTCACCAGGAAAGAAGGCAGAAACTGATGGAAGAAATCCGTGAGCTGAAAGAACTTCAGGATGAGGGTAGGAGCGCACGGTTACAGTGCCCACAGTGTGTATTTGGTACCAATTGTCCCAAAACGTTCGTGCAGCATGCAAAGACCCATGAAAAAGATAAAAGATACTATTGCTGTGAGGAATGCAATTTCATGGCTGTGACAGAAAATGAACTGGAATGCCATCGAGGGATTGCTCATGGAGCAGTAGTCAAATGTTCTGTTATCGGTAGCGACATGTCCCAGAGGAAAACACAGAAAAAGGCATCCTTGAAAGATCCCTATTTAGGATCCTCAAAAAAGTCATCAGCGTATATGTGTAAGATGTGTCCTTTTTCAACGTCAACTAGAAGTATTTTAAAGAAACACATGGAATATTTGCACCCAGCGTCATGCATTGATTCCTTTGGTAGCCATCTTAGACTAGACAAAAGAAAAGGCAGCATCATAGAAGAATCTTTAGATTTCGGTAGTAGGACAAAACAGTTGATCAAACAATCTTCTACTTTTCCAAAGAACTCTGTTTTAAAACAGGATGTAAAAAGATCATTTGGCTCTACTTCACAGTCCAGTAACTTCGCAAAACTTCACAAGAGGCCCTACAGGATACAGAAGGCTCGGAAAAGCGTTTCACAGACATCTGTAAGTGTGTGCAGTCTAAATTCCACAAACAAGACCTTTTTGATTAGAAATAGCATTGACCAGAAACCTAAGTATTTTCATCAAGCAGCAAAGCAGAAAGCTAGTGTCAAAGCACGTGGTAATAATTTGTATAGGCACAAATATGAAAACTACAGGATGATTAAAAAATCTAGTGGCTCTTATCCTTTGCATTTAAAAAAGGAAGAGTCCAACTCTGTCAGTTCTTTACATTTATTTTCCTCATCAAGTAGTCCCCATAATAATTGCTTTGACATGGATTCAAATAATCTTGATTGCAAAAGGGCAGAAGGCTGTAAAGCTCGTAGGCGTGTAGCTGTAAAAAGAGTGGTTAAAGAATCCAAGAGGGAAGGCTCTGTTAAAGGAGATGATTTGGATTGCTATCCAGATTTTCTGCATAAAATGACTGTTGTTGTTTTACAGAAACTTAACTCTGCTGAAAAAAAAGACAGCTATGAAACGGAGGATGAAAGTTCATGGGATAATATTGAACTATGTGATTACACTACACAGTCTGTGGAGGATGAATCTTACAGTGATATTAATCAGGAGCATGTAAACCTATTCCCCATATTCAAAGGTAAAATGGAAGATCATGAAGCTGGTGATAAATCTTCACTTAGTTATGAGCAGAATGATGGCTTTTATTTTGAGTATTATGAAGATGCTGAGGGTAGTAACTTCCTGCATGATTTGCATGATCCTCAGAATTTAGAAAACGTAGGATCAGCATTGCCAAAGCATAATTCAGTTTTCCATTGGACTGATCTGTCGCTTGAAAAGAAGTCCTGCCCATACTGTCCAGCAACCTTTGAAACAGGTGTTGGATTGTCTAATCATGTCAGAGGACATCTTCACAGAGCTGGACTAAGCTATGAAGCCCGTCATGTTGTTTCACCAGAACAGATAGCCACAAGTGACAAAATGCAGCATTTTAAAAGAACTGGAACAGGAACTCCTGTTAAACGTGTTAGAAAAGGTAAGTTTGGGGGAGTTCTGTGTTTTATTTCGGTTTTGAATTTGGGTATACAGTAAAGGGGACAAAGGGATTTACTGAGCACTATGCAAGACTTGCTTTATCTTGTTGTAAAGCCCCTCGTCATTGTGATTTGCTGTTGTGATGTTTCACTGCTTATAGTTGTCAAAAAACATTATTGTTGTTTCCTTTGTAGCGATTGAGAAGTCTGAAACTTCCTCTGAGCATACGTGTCAGCTCTGTGGAGGCTGGTTCGATACTAAAATTGGATTGTCTAATCATGTGCGAGGACACCTGAAGAGGCTTGGCAAAACCAAGTGGGACGCGCACAAGTCTCCGATCTGTGTTCTGAATGAGATGATGCAGAACGAAGAGAAGTATGAAAAAATCCTAAAGGCTTTGAACAGTCGCCGCATTATTCCCAGACCGTTTGTTGCTCAGAAATTTGCATCAAATGATGACTTTTTATCTCAGAATGTTATACCTCTTGAAGCATACCATAATGGCCTAAAGACTGAAGATACATCTGTGTCTGCATCAGAGGAAGAAGGGCTGAGTTTCCTAAATGAATGTGATGAAACAAAAGCAGTACTACATAATGAAAAAAAAAATCAGTCACTTACACTGATAGAACTCCTGAAAAATAAGAGGTTAGGAGAAGAGAGGAATCCTGATATTTCTCCTCAAAAGATTCATAATCAAACTGCAAGAAAGAGGTTTGTTCAGAAATGTGTTCTTCCATTAAATGAAGACAGTCCATTGATATATCAGCCACAAAAAATGGACTTGACTATGCAGTCAGGTAAGAAGATGTTTCTAGCCATCTTGACAACATTCCAAAGAATCTGTTAATTCCTAGAGAAGGTACAAGTGCAGAGTATTTTATTTGGGATTCTGTTCATTTAATTCTTATTTCATTTCCAGAGGACACTGACTGCGAGTGGTAGCACAGCAAATTATTCTGACATGGTTTTACTAAAGTGAAAAATAACCCGCAGCAGCACTGAGGGGGTTTTGTATGGAACAGAGTTCCTGTTCTGCCTGTGGCTGGGCGTACAAACTCAAAGCGGACATAAAATGAGCCTCAGTAAGGAACAAGACACATCCTCCAATACCAAGTTGAAGTGTCCATGCATGTTTGGTAGACTTAACAGTTCTGAAATGTTTGGGCTTCTAACCCTATTTCTGGGCATTAAAACAGCTGGTTTGGGAGCTACTTCACTGAATTCTTTCAGGTTTGTGCAAAGCAACATCTGCTCAAACTAACAGAACTGTTGACACTGTTATAAACACATAATATTGCAAAATGGTGAATCACTGTCAACTAATTCTGATGGTTTTAGGCAAATGTACTCTTACAACATAGGTTAATTCTTGTTTGTTTCGAAATTGCGGCTGCTCTGGGAAACTGATGTTTGCTTAGGGCCTGTCTGTCCTGAGTGAAGACTGTGCTGGTTCAAGCTTTGTTGGAGTAGAGTTGTAGCCAGCAGATTTCTAATGCACAGCCCCTGACCCATAAGAACCTAGATTGCCCCTCCACTGAGAATTGTGCTAATGAAACAATTCTGTAATCAACTTCCTTGATACTCTGTATACTAATAGAGCAGGTTTTTAGAGTGATTTTTAATCTACTTGGCATAGTAGACATTCTGGTCTTGGGGAACTCTTACGACATCCTTTTTAACATGTACGTAGAGCTTGCATTTACCCTTTTCTTGTTTGGACACCTCCTTATAGCTCTGCAGGAATCTTTAGATTGAGGAGCAGGATCTTATTTTTATACCCCTGAATATTTTTTGTTCTGTTGGTTTTCTTGTTGCTACCCAGTTCAGGTTAGTAAAACTGGCAGTGCCTAGTACTTTTTCACCTGTATTCTTGTCTTCCCTTAAACATATAAACATGACAACAATCTGACATGCTTGGAAGTTCTTTTAGGGGACTACAGAAGTGTGGCAGTCAGTTTCTTAACAAAGGTGGCTTTCTAAAATGACATAGTAGAGGTGGAATGGAATTACATCTCTTGTCTTCTGGACATCCATGGTTGTCCTTTAAGACAGGAAATTGCTTAATAAAGGAAGTGTATCTTTGACAGGCTTAATGATTTGAAAAACAATGATAAAGGAATAGCTGGCCAAACCTGACACTCTGTATTGCTTTCTGTTTTGATACTTACTTCTGAATACTAGCTAGTTCCTGTTTGGTTGTGATGAACAACCAGGTAAAAATAAACACTTGCTTATATAGTACTAACAGTTACGATTGGGGCCGTATAATTATCTCTGGCTGAGTTAACAGAATTTGACAACTAACGCACTGCGCCAGTTGAGTTAATACGAAAATACGTAACATCAAGTTGAAATTCTTCTGTTTTTCCTTAAAAAAGGCAAATATTTCTAATTCTGGTTTTAGTTTTTATAAAGGTTTTTACCAGCCAAGTTTTCTTCTTCTGTAACTTGCCTGAAAAAACAGCATGTCTTCTGTGGGCTGCTGGAGAATAGCATTCTTTCTTTCTATCAAACACAGGGTTTCCAGCTGAGTAGTTTTAGCTTTTTCTATTTATTCTTCTAATAATTTATTGGTAGAGAACTTGAAATGTTAGTCGACCAAAATAATGTATCTTTGGTAAAACAAAGGGAGAAACATTACCGTGAAGGTGAGCAGGGGATAAGTTATAATGGTTTCTTGGTTTCTTTGTCTGGTAAGTGAGGAGTTCGGTATTGTTCCACTGCTTTCCTGTGATAATAGCATGTTACTCTGTTGATCATTTATTTAGCACAAAGATTTTATCAAAAAACTTCAAATCATTAACTTTCATTATTGATTGTGCAGCTAAAGTAATGAACAGAAAATGCACTGAACAAATTGTTCGTTCTTAGCAGCTGTTCAGTGCTGTGTTTTACCACCTTTTTCTCCAAGCCTTCAACAGCAGCCTAATTTAGTGTTGAGCTCTTTAGTCTTGTGGGTAAAACACTTTTAATTACCGCCTTGTCAATGAGACTGCTTAAATTCCCTTTATGAGAAATGTTGCAAGCTCTGAAATTTCTCAAAAGAGTTGTGCTATTCGAATTGCAGGATTGTATTTTGGGACTAGAGCTTCATAATGTGGAGATCTGTAGGAACCATGATAGTAGGTATTAACTGCAGAGTAGCCTACTGGGCTCAAGTTGCCTCCTTTCTGTTCTTTTTCAAGTAACATGGTTTGGCTTAAAGCACTACATGGAAAACTAATAACAGTTAACTTGGATCCTTCTAATATACTGAACAATTGCGTCAATGCAGTGAATATATTTTAAACCATCTTTATTGCAGAAAACTTTTTACAACGCTTTGAGAATTTCATTTTTTGAAGAGAGAACTGGATTATAGTTTTCTTTTGAATGATAGGTATGCCTGTGAAGCTTAGAACGTGTGTGCATTGCAATACGACGTTTACAAGTGCTGTTAGCCTGTCCAACCACTTACGCGCTTATGCACGAAAGAAGAGTGCTGGACTTTTGACTGGGACAGGTATGTTTTGTTACAGATGTAAAAGCAAGTCTGTCTATGATACATTTTCCTCATCAGACTGGACAAAAGCATATGTTAATTCAGAATTATTTTGAAGCTTCTACTGGTAAACAGATGATTTGCCATAAAACTTCAGCAACTTGTAAGCAAAGGTATGTTGCTGTTGTCCACTCTCATGCCTGATTTTCATTCTTATTCATTTATTTTGGATCCAACACTTAAGGTATGTAAGCAAAACTGAGAGATGGTTGCTTAAATTCATTCTCCTATAATATCACAACTTCCAAACCAGCCTTCTAATGAAGTGTTTTTAAAAAGTACCTCACTGATGAGGGGGGGGAAATAAAAACCAACCCCACAACAAACCAACAAGTAACTTTTACAGTCTAGCACATGAAATTACTAAAAGTACTGTTGTTCAGAGAGGAAAAGCAAGTAATTTTACAGTTTGTGTATTTATGGCAACATACTGTATGTAGCTGGTTTCATTTCTTGTTTGGCTCACAACCCCCAGAGTACCTGGTCTGACGTGGGGTGAGTGCAGTACAGCATCTGGCACTGCTTTAATGGTTTTTATTAAAAACCACTTCACTTTGAAATTCCTTGAATACTGCATATTTTGCCTGATTTCCAGAGGCCTGCAGTTTGGTTGGCTATATAGGCAGTTTCTGAGTTCAGTTGGATTGTTGCTCAGATTAGTGAGACTTCGTATGATCAACAGCAAATTGTGGAGCAGAGGTGGAATATAGAGAGGAAGATTTGGAGACAAGAAATCAGGAGTATTCAGTAATTAAGAAGGGCAACCATCAGTTTTTTGTGTCAACAAGCACAGATTTTAACTGCAGATGTAATTCATTATGCTAAGAATGACAAACTGAGTTTGGGGCTTTCTCTGCAGAAGGGTGAAAGAAATACTTCTACAGACAGGGCCTGTGGCTGCCAGGTCTTATGTTCCATCAAGTTAATGATACAGCATAATAGATTTAGAAGGAAGTCAGCAGACGCAGTAATATCCAACGTGTAGGAGTATATGCCTTTAGTTAGTGATTCTGAAAGTTTTCATATTTAGTCATTAGAAAGATGATGATAGTGGACATCATTTACCACTGCTGTGATTTGATACTAGCCCTGTGGTAAGTTACTTTGCTTATATACCTACTGGTGGCATACTTTCCAATAGCTGTATATTTAAATTGCATGTTGAAATTTTCAGTGGAGGACACACTGTGGCACACAGGATAGTACACAGAAGTTGGATCCTGGCCAAGCTCCTAGTAACCCAGCTTCTCTTTCGCTAAATGGGAAAAGTGAAGGAAGCTTGTTAAGGTGCTTTCAGGGATATTTGTTTGATTTAAGAAATGTTTTTTTCTAGCGAAGTAGTAGCATACTCATTGGAGCAGTGGCCACTTTAAAAGAACTAAGAAAACTCCTGAGGCTTGTATCATTGGACCTAGAAGTTTGTTTAAAATTAGGTTAGAAGCAAAAAGAGGTTAGAGACAAAGCTGAAAAAGAAAAGAAAAAAAAAGAAGGGTTAGAAACAAGACTTTAAAACAACCCAAATCTTTTGATTGCAGAAGCTGGTGCTGATAAATAAATTTGGATAAATTTGGAGATAAATAGCCCATACCATGTGGTGAAAGGCCTGTCACTGAAGCCAGTGACATAGGCTTAAGTCCTAGCTATAACTTCATGCAACCAATATTAACTTAGTCATTACTATTAAAACTGCTGTAACTGCAAAGTTTGTAAACTTTGCTTGTTGACTTTTCATTTGAGCAAGATCCATGCAAGGCTCATAGACCAGAAAAATAAGCTTTTAAAAAGTGGTTTATTTGATATTCCACTTTATATTATAAACTTTAGTGAAGATAAATGTTTTAATGCAACATTTCACTAGCACATACTATTTTTAAACTTTGCTATGAGTGTTGCTCTTGGGGAATCTCAGGAGTTTTTTATTAAAAGATGGTTGCAGTTGAGAACAAGATGTCTTTGGTTTGGCTTCAGCCTGGAACCTATATGGAGGCAATGATATGTTCATACAGAAGCTTCCTTCTTCTGCTTTCACAAAGCCTTTGTTATATCTTCTAAAGTAAACATAACTACCAAAAAGAGAAATCATGTTGGTTGAATACTTATCTCAGTTTCTTGCTGTAGGTGAGTAATTGTGTGTAAACATGAATTGCAGTTCTGTTAACTGGCAGTTTTTACAGAAGCTGTCTAGGCATTAGTGTTTAGTAACAGAAGTGCAGTCATCTCTGCATATCACCAAAGGGAGACCTTTCCCAGCACTACGTTAGCTAACGTACTAGTCTTCTGCTCAGTTTTGCAGTTTGTCTGCCTGTGGTTTTGATGTTGACTATTACATTGCTTTCCTAGCAGATGCCCTGCTTCTTCAGAGTCAGTAATTGGATCACATTTAGTTTGTTGGGGGGTGGGGGGATGGTGATGTTTTCTTTTTACTCCAAATACAACTTGACAGTTTTAGCAATATGATACACATAGTTAAACATAATGGGAGATCTTAAGAATGGACTCAAGAAAAACATCCTAGATGTACAACTTTCTAGGCTGTTGGTGTTTCCTACGTTAGTGTTTATTAATTTGTGCCTTAGTTACGCGGTATGGATCCACTGTATAGCAAATCCTTGTCTAGGTCCATTTGGATAGTTACTTTTGTATCTGCTTGCATCATGGTCTTCAGGTGTCTGAGTGGAACATGAATTTGTTGTTGTTAATGCGGTCTGATTTTGAACAACGTAATTATTTAATCACTCATCTTTAGTAGATGACAATCTTGTATACCCGTTTCGATTAAGAGCAACACATCAGTGTTTCTCAGAGGATGTGGCAGACTTGCCTCTTTCTTCTGATTAGAGCACTGAACAGACTTACGCAAGATTTTCACAGTGCATCTCACTCTTCTTGGTACAGTTGTATATCCAGGCTTCCTTTTCTTCTCTCTAGGCCTCTGTGGCCCCTTCTCCTCCTCCCTTGAGTCTTTTGATACTCTCTTGCACCCTGGCTTTTTATATCTTCTCTTTGCTGGCTATTTTCACATTCTCAAGTCTGTTCTTTCCAGCTGTCATCTTCTGGATATCACTGTCCTTTCCTTCAGTCTTTGCTTCTGTAGATGGAGACTGCTTTTCCAGAAGTTTGGGGGAGAAAAATAGAATACAGAGCAAGGAGTTCGGCCTTTGAGCCAATAGTATGACTGAGGTAGCAGTTCATGCAGCCATTGTGCTTCCAGATAATTTCTAATACTGCTTTGTCGGAATTGTAGCTTTGGGAAGTTGACTGGAAGCATATGCAGCTACAGCAGAGACCTGAGATCCACTGGCTTTGCATGTCTGTATTCTGTGCTGCTACACTTACAACTGATTAACTAGCACAGTAAGCTGATTTTTAGTACCCCATAAAATCCTTCAGGTAGTAAATTAGTGGAGGGGGTTTTCAAACACATTTTACTGTGCAGTATTGATGAGAATAGATTGCAAGTGATTGAATCTGATAATTCATTATTCCTTTACTTTTTAATTGGCAATGTTTTTAAATGGTTAAGTGATCCATTTATGTGTGCAGTTATTCCGCTTGTGTTAGCTTACATATGCTGTGGCAAAAGTAACGAAGTCTGGATAAAGACCCAGCTTCAGTCTTCCTGAAATATGTTCCGTGTTGGGGGACGTCAAGCAGTGGAGCATGATTCTGTGCAATTTAGCATAGATGCCCTTTAATTGTTAACTACAGACCAAATGTTATGACATGAAGAACCCATAATTGTGACTTTCCTAGTTCATGTTGTCTTAGGCATGCGCATTTAAGCCTCCCATCTCCATCTGATAAGCAGTCACAGAGATAAAGTAGGGGTTTATGTGCAACCTTTTTACTTGGCATGTGTTTTTTTGAAGAGGTTTGATGAAGTGGTGTCATTGTTTTTTTTACAAAGAAGTTTTGGAATAGCAACCAGGAAACACTGGGCAGCCAAGCTTGAAGGAAGGAGGCTTTTTCCAAAAAGAAGCCTTTATGGAGAATGAGGATAGTTTGGGAGCTCCGATAGCCACAAAGTAGGCATTAATGGTAGGTTGTTCCTGTGTATCTCTGTCAATTTGCTGCAATTTCCATGCCGCTTACTAGAACTAAATATCCTTGGGTTCTTCCTGAAAGTGATAAAAACATATTTTCTGAGGAGGTCATGCTTTGTTACAGTAAAGGATTGGAAGAGCAGTAACTTTTTGGTCAGAACATGGCTTTCTTACAGGTGAAGCAAATAGCGTGACGTACTTGATGCTTGCTTGTAAGCGTCGTATCAACAGAGTACTTAAATGTGTGCATGCGACTTCAACTTGTTACTCGCTGGAGAGACACTGGATGTATGTGACAGTTACTGGTACACATCTCTGATAACTGATGTTGGAATTATGTTTTTCAGTCAGCTTAACCCAGCTGTTACTCTTTTCCACTTAATTTCCTGCTTCATGGGAGTAACTTCAGAATGTACTTGTGCTGCTTTGTGCCCCCTAAGAAGTGAAGGAATACGTTCAGTAGATATAAAAGAAAAAGGGAACAAAAAATAATCTTGCAGAACACAGGTTTAGTATTAGTGCTTGCTGTCTTTTGGTAACAGCTTCTTGCTCAGGCAAAATCTACTTACAATCTTGGGGAATTTACTGAAAGAGTGTATTGAGTGATCTGAATGTTTTTTTTCTTGATGTCTTTTATGGTGATATTTTCTGTCCTTTGTTTTGTGATGGCTTTATCTGGAGCTTCTGTCCTAAATGGCTCAGAGAAGATGCGCATTTTTTTGTTTTCCTTGTTTTCTCATTGTTCTTGGAAAAGGTACCTTTCAAGGAAGTAGAAACTACCCCTCGAACATTATGGCAGTTCTGTTTATGTCACTGTCTATTTGCCTGCACAGTACCTTACAGGGTTTCTTTCTTAGAATATTACACACATACAAAGCCATTAGGTTTCAGGAACTCTGTTGCAGAAGGCCAGTTCAGGTTTAGCAAGAAAGTGAAAGTTCCATGAAATGCTTGGGATGTATGTGAACAGAATCTAATTTCTTGATGGGAATTAATGTCTTACGTTTGCCAATGTGAAGGAAATAAGCTAATTCTTGTTTCAAATGCATGGAGGCTGCTGTAGAAGGAGCGTGCTGTCTACTGCCCGTTTTTTTTACTTGTATCAACTGACATCAGCTAACTTACATCGGACGCAATTCATGGATATGTTTGCATTCAGATACTGACTTCTGTTCCCTCCTTCCCACAATGTTCTGCAAAATGAGCAGTAATGGCAAAGCTTTTGCTGTAATAACTGCTTCAGACACGTAGCCTCTCCTACAAGTATTTCCCTTCCGAGAATGGGTATCCGGGTTTCAGTATTTTATGTGCTTACATGCCTGGCGGTGGTGTTACTGATGTTCCGGTATGTAAAGTATTTATACTACTTGGTAGTTCCTACAGCCTGAAAGTTAGTTGGATTTTTTTTCTTCCTAATTATATGAAGAATAAGCTTTTTATGAGAGCACAAAACATTAAGAACCTATTGCTTGTTCACTTTTCCAGAAGTTGTCTTGGCCATTTCTGTTTCTCTCCCCCGCCACCTCAGGTTACTGCCTTTATATCCAGACTGCTTTCATTGTTGCTATCAGAAAATATGCTGTTGAGCCTCATCTTCCTAATGATGGCTTAACCCAGGCTCTGAAGGAAGTCTCTTCAGGTTGATACCTGCTTTCTACTTGTTTGATTAGTTCTCTGGTACCTTCAAACCTCAAAAATTCATTCTGAGTTTTCTAGATAATATAAAAATCTTCAGATCTGGGGATGGAACTGGGAAATACCGAGTGTATCTACAAGTTAACAGTTTGGCTACAGGATAAAAGCTTGAGGGGCGTTCATTTGGAGGACATAACAAATGCAGGATGTGTGTTCTTTAAATCAGCATGTTTTGCCTCACCAGATGATGTCTTATGCTTCAGAATACTGAGATTTACTCTTCTGTTTTGTATTACAGGGGTCAAAACTTAGACAAGTGTAACAATTACTTTGTTTTTATTTTACTGTTAAGATGCTCTAGTAGCATAGCATTTTGCCTTTGTGGTATCAAGAATACCACTTGCTACTGTCTTTCAGGTTTCTATGGAGTTTTAGTGTCAGTGTCTTAAAGCAGAGCTAGATTTACTTCTCAGTTCAGGCAGTCCCAAGCATCTTGATTTTTTCTTGAGCTTTATCAGCTGTTCTCATCATAACAATATTAACTCAGCTTAATTCCCTCATCCCCTAACTTTGGCTGCTGCTTAAAGTCAATCTTCAGGTTTTGTTACGGATTTCCATCGCATCTGTTTACAGGAGGTACAGACCTCAATGCTAACTGAACACAGTGGCTATGTGCTTCCTGTTCACACACATTAATTTCATACATAGTTTCAAATGCTTAGACTGAATTTCAAAAGTGGCTTTGCCATCCCTGTTGATTGTCCCACTGTGAAGGATTAACACATAATTCTTAGAAGATGCATTAGAACTCAGACAGGAGTGAGGGAAGCTTCATTTGAAACTTAAAATAAACTTTTGCCTTATGTTGAAAACAAATAGGTGGTTTATTCAAACTAGAAATTCTTGATTGTGTTAGCTGAAAGCTGCAACTTTACGAAGTTGTAGACTGGTTGAAAATGAGTGGTCTTACAATGGTCCTTGAAACACAAAACAAGTTCCAAGATTTTGACAGCATTTTATGCATGAAAGGGAATTTCCAATGGTGCTTTGCTTCTGTTGCATTCTCTAATAGGTTAGTAGGTGCTTGCTGATACTATAACAACTGTTTAATGCCAAATGTCAAATTATCTAGTCTTCTAAAGAGCAAGCACTGTGCTAAGCTAAAAAAGCTTCATGTGTTTTGCCAGTAAATTTCTTAGAGCACACTGTAATTGTTTTCAATTTATGTTATAATTGAATGTAGAATAACAAGGAGGTAAATGTCTTTTCACTACTGCTATAGGAGATGCTTACTAAATATCTCTGTTTGGTTAACAATTATTGAAGTATCACTTTCACATACGGAAATTTCTCTTCCTAGCTTTAGACTGTAAGCAAAAGAAGTCAAGATCAAGATCTGGAAGCAAGAAAAAAATGCTGCCATTACCTCATAGTGCTGATGAAGTTTACATACTCAGATGCAGGTACATAGGATTATTTTATTGAATGAATAAAATAATCTGTAGAGCTCACTACATTTAGTCATAAAAAAATTTAAGATTATATCCTGTAAATGTGTTTGTATTAAATTGAATAATAAGGGAGGGGGAAACGGTTGCATATTTTAATTAACTTAAGAGGACTTGAATCGATCATATTCAGGCATTAGGTTGCCAACTATTTCTCAAGCTAAAATCTTATTGGTCGTGTCTGAGTAATATTCGGTCCTTCAAAAGAAACCTTATGTAAGAACAGACTGTTATTGCTAGTGTTAAAAATGTAAGAGTGTAAGCTGTATAAACTGCAGGGGTTTATGCTCAAAGTTGCTGTAAATGGACTCAGTTACTAACGTTTTCAGCTAAAATACATAGAAACAAGCTTCAAGAAAATTCAGACTTTCCACTCAGTGTCTTGTCTTTATAGTTTTTCAGTAGAGCTAGATACATCTTGATGGAATAATTTTAATGTCTGCATAGGTTTTGTGGTCTGGTCTTTCGAGGACCTTTGTCTGTTCAAGAAGACTGGATAAAGCACTTGCAGCGACATATTGTCAACGCAAATCTTCCACGGACTGGAGCTGGCATGGTTGAAGTCACATCACTACTTAAAAAACCTGCTTCAATTACTGAAACTTCGTTTTCTTTACTGATGGCAGAAGCAGCATCATAGAACAAGGAAACATTTTAAATTTTAATTGGATGTAAATTTGAAATACTTTGTCATTTTTTAAAATAAATTGCTACGTTAAATTATGTTTATAAATGCTAAAGACAGAAAAATAGAGGAAGTGGATTACAGTAACATCAAAAGAAATTGAATACTTAACAGTTACAGTAAGTAGTCTTTATATTTTATATAGGGTGGAAGACGTGTTTTTAAGGTTTATTATGTTTTTGTCAGTTACTGTGTTCACTATCAATACAAGACCATTACATGTACGACAGCCATTTTTAAATTGTTGCACATGGGTACTTAAAAGACAGATTTTAATAAAACAAAGAATCCGTGTTCTCTTCAGTGTTACCCAAATCAAGGCTCTGTTTATTCCAAAAAAGAATTACATAGTAAAATAAGATATTATTATATTTTGTTTGTATGTATGTAGTGTTTTGTATAATACCAAGAACTGCTAATACAATTTACTCAACTTAGGGCATTAAATATCATGTACTTCATAGTTCAAGAGACTGTTTCATTCAAATAGGGCAATTAGTACTATTCTATCTAGGTGTGTAAGTGTTTTTTTTTAAATCACATGAGGCTTTTTGTACTAAAAAAGTGGAGGGAAACTTGTTTAAACAAATTTCTAAGAGAAATATGTACATAATACTGGAAATTTGTGGTAAGGAAATATTCTTTACTTCAGTTGCATTTCTCACTGACAATAAAGTGGTGCATCCATGCTACCTCCTACTTGTCAACAAAGATGGTATTTACCCTTATGTTTTTGTAACATAGTAAATTCAGTCCGACTTTCTTTATTACAACGCTTCTTTTTTTTGTTAACAAGTTTGTTTCTTTATGATGATTTACTTAAAGTCTGACTTGCTTACAGAAGTTTGCCTCTCTTAATATTTTATTTAACACTGTAGAAATGTACTAATAAGCATTGCTCACTACACGGTTAGAGTAGACTTTTCATTTATAATTCTGTTTAAAAGATTGATCATTTTAGAGAATTCGAACACAGGTTGAAATGTTTCTACATATGAAGAGAATGTTTACAACTTAAAATTTAGAGCTTGTTTTGGATGTGATTATATGTATGAAAACTGTAACACTATGCTCATGCTAAGGACCTACTTACAGAATTACTGAAATAAATGTGCTGTGAGGATGGAAATATGGTGCAGGTGTCTTGGTCATGATAAATTGTGTTTGTTCATTTAAACTGTCTTCAGAATATGATTTTTGTTCAAATTAGATTCCTCTACAAACCAATTTTGTATGCAGGTAACATTTCATTTTACTCATATAGGGTAACAGATACTGTAGTTAAGCCAAGGATATGCATTGATATTTTCTTTATATGTAAATAAAGCTAAAAGCAGTTAAAACAAGAGGAGTATTTTGGTAGAGTATATACATACCTCACTGCCAGTGAAATTGCTTTCCTATGGTATATCTCCTTACCAGAAAAATCTCTAAATAAAAAGGTTTAAAGAAAATCTAAATGTCTATAATGTGAAGCATTTATTTGCATTGTGTGAATTAAGTTTGTGAAATTGATTTGTCTTGCTTGAGATTAGAGTCTTCTCATGATCTTAATTGAAAGTACATTTACTTGCAATAAACTGACTTGTTCACAGACACATTACATTGGATTGGTGGAAAATGTGAAGGGAAATGTCTGTCTTCCTGTATGTGCACAGCTCAGTTAACAGACGAGGCTTGTGAGTATTCTGGTGAAATAGATGGACTGAAACTGCTCAGTTGTGCAGGACAGGGTCTTGAGACAAAGCCATCCGAGCTCTGTCAAGGCTTTCATTAAATCAGTGCTGTCAGATGTTTTACCGTACAAGTTGCTACACATAATTTTAGCTTTATTGTCAAAATTTATTCCCCCCCCTTTTTTTTTTACCTGGAAGATCTGCATTAGTACTGGAGAAAAAACTAGAGATTTTAGGAAAGGTAACTGGGATGTTGAAGTGTGTTGCAGACAAATTATGTGTATGCAGACTAACACAAGTTTAAAATCAGTGGGTGATTGTGGGATTCTTTTATAAACAGTGAAAATGGAAGTTTAACAGCAGTGTGTGAAAACAGGATAGAGGGAAGTGATCAAATCACCTTGAATGTTTATAATGCTTTAATAGAGTGCTTGTTTACTTTCTCACCAAAAAAGGTGCTTGTGAGAGCACCATATTTTCTGGCTGTTTAACAGATAAATCAATTAAGTGCAAATAATATTTATCTAGTATTGTTAAGCATGCTTGTAAGATAAAGCCATACCATGCGGAATTTCGCGTTAGCAAAGATCTCCATTAGGTTCATAATGATAAAGACCCTAGTTAATTCTGAGTTACTTAATTCATTAAATCCCAATAGTGAGCTGGTTTGTGTAACACTAGAATGCAAGGTTGTGTCTGAAGAACAGGGAGCTTTAGGGCTGATTATTTTCCAAATGAGATTCTTTTGATGAGGAGCAGCAGTTTTCAGTGGCGGGCTCGCATCAGATCCTTGACAATCTAATTTTAAGTAGATACAGAAGTTCTAGAACTCTTCTGATTATTAAATTAATTGCATATATGGTTGATATGGACTGAATGGTCTTTAAAAACTACTGGTAGTTGAGTTACCCTTGAGCTTTCTTTAGCCTCTAGTCCTCTGTGGAGCTGTTTTCTTGTTTTCTGGTGTTTGGAAATACAGGTCTTCTGTCACTGCCTACAAGGAGGAAAAAAAAAGTCTCCCTTTCCAGAGTTACAGACATTCTAAATAATCTGGTAGAAGCCAGTTAATTAAATCAGTTGCTTTATGGTACGAATCTCATGTTTTGAGATGTGTGGCTTGAGAGGCTCTGTGGCAGTCTGGGCCGCAGGACTGGACTGACAGAATTGCACATACAAACACGAGTGTTGGTTTGTTCCCATTAGGTAGGTTGCTCTGGGATGAAGGCTGCAGTGGTGTAGCAGTTTTGGTAGTGTGTTTAGGCTGTATGTGTGGAAACTTGGAGATGGAGTCAAGTGCTTAACAGATGTTGGTTCACAAAGATCCCTGGGCACTTACTGCTTCCTGTGCACTCTGTGAACTGTGTTAGGTGGGCCGCTCCCACAGGTTGAGGCAGTCCAGCTCAGCCCATAGATCCAACTTTTGCATTCCCAGGGCTCATCTCCAGCTCTGATGCCAGAAGTGAGCTGCTGACTCTTCTCTGTGGGAGGAAAAGCAACTACCAGACAATACCCACTGGGGAGGGAGAGCAAGCATGTAACGTGCCGAAGGTGGGGATTATAACAGTTCGGGCTTAGGTCCTGGGCAGACTTTCCGTGCTTGACCTATGTGTCTGTCGAAGGTCCTGCCTTTTCAGCCACATTCAGGGAAATCGCCAAGGTCTCTGAGGTAAGTGGATCCCAGGAGGAATGTGAGTCATGAGTTGGTGCTCAGAGAAGTGCATCCATCCCGAGTTTGAAAAGGTCAGCATCATGGGACAGAATGGGAGATCTTTTCCTGCAGAGCTGGTTTGACTCCAGTGCTTTTTTGGGCCAGCTGTGGTTCTGGATTTCTTGTGTATCATTAGTGCTTTAAAGAGGGGTTTCTCACTAAATCTTCTACCTGACTCTGAAAACAAATGTGGGGCAAATGAACAGCAAGTATCAAGTACTTTCTTTTAACTAAGTGGTAAGGGCTGCGTGCAAAGGCTGTTTAGTTGAGCACTATTGTTAACAGACTTTTTCACTTTTTGTCACAGTAGTTAATGCCCTGGATACTTAAACATCAGTTGAATATTTAAAATAAATTTGGTTTATATAGTTTTGACTTTGTTTTTTAAATCCTGTTAGGATGGTAATTCCTAAAAAAACCTGCCTGCATTATGATTTCAGATACTTCAATCCACCGTGCTTTGTAGGTGCTGTTGCCTGATCCATGGGTAGCAATTTTGGTGTAATGGAAACATGTGGCCATAGTGCCAGGTCTGTAATCTCTTGCAATAAAATGTTCCTTTTTAACACTGCAGGCTGCTTGGTGTTCTTCCTGTTGTTCAGAGCTGAGCTGCACGGCACACCTGGCTTAACCCGGGGACTTCCCCCCTAACCTGAATAGTTGCATGGCGAGGCGAAGAGGACAGGTCTGTTGGCTGTAGCCTTCTGAGAAATCAGAGGTGAGGCAGAGAAGAGGCTATTTGCACTGCAGTACTGGGGAACAGAATTAGGACTGGGGAGGGAAGCTGTTGCTCAAGACAGGAGCCCAAATCGGACGACAAACCACGAATGACAGAGGTCTCATCTGCACCTGTCCTCCCACTTCTCAAGCTGCACAATCTAGTTTTTTCACCACCTTTCCCAATTAGAAGCAGTTTGTCCCTACAGTGCTAGCTGCACAGTGCCTTCCATGTGCTCCTGGACCCAGAGTACTCGGAAAAACCCAACCTGCCTGGTGCTCTGCACCTTCTCCTGCTACAGCGTGAAAGAAATCATTGCCATACCACTGTGGTGTGGCACACACAGAGAACATATATGCAGGGGTTGGTCAAATCTGGCATGAAAGAATATTGGCGGTGTTTACTTGTTTAAACAAGGGCTGGAGTGGGCGTTCCCTCCACACAGTCTTACTAGGGTTGATGTACTGGCACTGCTCATTCTTATTTGTAGTTGCACTATAGGCTGATGAACTTGTATTGAAAAAACAAAGTAGGAAATCCCTGTAACTTTAGTGCCCTGGTCCCCTATTAGTGGTGGAATCGCCATCCCTGGGAGTGTTCAAAACCCATGTAGATGAGGCCCCTGGTGACATGGTTTAGTGGTGGCCTTGGTAGTGCTGGGGTAATGGTTGGACTTGATGATCTTAACGGTGTTTTCCAACCTGGTTGATTGTATTATTCTATGATTAAAATTCTAATGCAGGTCAGCTAACAGCCTTTTATAAAACTTGTTAGTAAAATTTAAGTGTACCAAGTAGAAGAACCTTGAGGTCCAAGTAGCTGGCGCCTGGCTGCACCCAAGCACAGGTAGCCCCAGTCTGCCAGAACGGAGGTGGAGGAATCTGTATTGCTGGTTATGAAGATGGTTTGCACATGTTACCTGAAGGCTGACATGCTGCTATTTTGGCTAGAAATAAACGGAGTAAACGCATCCCTGTAGGGATGCTTTTCTGTAGGGGGAGGCAAAGTTTGTTATAAAAGCACTGAAAGACCTTTCTTGTGCAGACCTGGCACACTGTTTTTACCGCAATTAAAACTCAAGCAAGTAGCATCCGTGGTAACTGTGAGCCCAGAGACCTCATGATTACAACTCTTACTGTCCAGTGAGGGAACAGAGGGAGCCCTGGCGCCTTCTCACAGCTTCTAAAGTGCCTGTACTGTACATGTTGTATAACCTGCAGCACTGCTGGGCTTTGTCCTGTATCTTCACCTAAAAGTACACTTTTAACTCATAAGGTCTGAGGTATGAACAAGAGATGATTTCAGGGTTGGAATTAGATGATCTTAAGATGATCTTAAGGTAATTTCAGGCTCCTGTCTTCAAAAAGGGCAAGAAGGAGGACCCGGGTAACTATAGACCGGTTAGCCTCACCTCCATTCCTGGGAAAGTGATGGAACACCTTATCCTTGGTGCCATCTTAAGGCATATCAAGGATGAGAGGGTTATGAGGGGCAGCCAACATGGCTTCACCAAGGGGAAGTCGTGCTTGACCAATCTCGTAGCCTTTTATGAGGAAATAACACGGTGGATGGATGATGGTAGAGCGGTGGATGTGGTCTACCTTGACTTCAGCAAAGCGTTTGACACGGTCTCCTACAGCATCCTTGCGGCTAAATTGAGGAAGTGTGGTCTGGATGATTGGGTAGTGAGGTGGACTGTGAACTGGCTGAAGGAGAGAAGCCAGAGAGTTGTAGTCTATGGGGCGGAGTCTAGTTGGAGGCCTGTATCTAGTGGAGTGCCTCAAGGGTCGGTACTGGGACCAGTATTATTTAATATATTCATCAACGATTTAGATGAGGGAATTGAGTGTACTATCAGCAAGTTTGCTGATGACACTAAGCTGGGAGGGGTGGCCGACACGCCAGAAGGCTGTGCTGCCATCCAGAGGGACCTGGACAGGCTGGAGAGCTGGGCGGGGAATAACTTGATGAAATATAACAAGGGAAAGTGTAGAGTCCTGCATCTGGGCAGGAACAACCCCAGGTTCCAGTATAGATTGGGGAACGACCTGTTAGAGAGCAGTGTAGGGGAGAGGGACCTGGGGGTCCTGGTGGACGACAGGGTGACCATGAGCCGACACTGTGCCCTTGTGGCCAAGAAGGCCAATGGCATCCTGGGGTGTATTAGAAGGGGGGTGGTTAGTAGGTCGAGAGAGGTCCTCCTTCCCCTCTACTCGGCCCTGGTGAGACCTCATCTGGAATATTGTGTCCAGTTCTGGGCCCCTCAGTTTAAAAAGGACAGGGACCTGCTGGAGAGAGTCCAGCGCAGGGCAACTAAGATGATTAAGGGAGTGGAGCATCTCCCTGATGAGGAAAGACTGAGGGAGCTGGGTTTCTATAGTTTGGAGAAGAGGAAATTGAGGGGTGACCTTATTAGTGTATATAAATATATAAAGGGGGAGTGTCATGAGGATGGAGCCAGGCTCTTCTCAGTGGCAAACAATGAAAGGACAAGGGGT